GAGAGAGAGAGAGAGAGAGAGAGAGAGAGAGAGAGAGAGAGAGAGAAAGCTAGGGCATTGATGAAAGACTACTTCTTTGGCTATCAAAACTCACGAGATTTCAAACCAAATCTACAGGAGGGTCTAAGTGAATTTTGTGTGGACGGCTGGGTAGAAGAAAGGAGCAGTAGGAGGAAAGAAAGATGCCTACCATGGGGGGACTTGTCAAGGGGCAGAGGCCAGTCCAAGGACTGATTCCTGCCGGCTGGGCTGGGTGTGAAAGCCCTGTGTCGGTTGATGAGCTTCCGAACTCCCGCGGGTACAGGGAACACAAATGCCCCTCCTGACTCGAGTTTGGAGGGGAGATGGTGTAGAGGAAGAAGAAAAAGAAAGAACGAAAAGTACAAGGACGCGAGCTATGAGGAAGAACAGAACGAAGGGCAGAAGCAAGAGAAAAGGGAGAATGGACAGAGAGGTCCCAAATACGAGGACCAATAAGGGAAAGGGGGAAATGAAAGGGGAAAAGAAGAGTTAGTGGGAAAAGAAGGGGGAAGAACGACGAGGAAGAAGCAAAAAAGTTGGAGGAGAGGAGTTCAGTGCAGAGACAGGGTTCCCGGTCGAAGGGTGCGGAGCGCGCCTTCCGTGCGCCCGCTGCAGAGGCTGCTCGGGCGCGCTCCTGCTTCGGCCCCGCGGCCACTTCGGTGCCGACGCAGGGACTCCGGGCGCTGCCAGCTCGCCTCGCCGGTGCCTCGGTCAGACTCAGAATCCTGCCCGGCACTAAGTAGCTGCCCCACAGCGCGACACTCAAGAACGCTCCCCAGGTCTGCGCTGGCAGCGAGTGCCGCGCCCCGGTCCGGGCTCCCAGCGCCTCGCGCAGCTGCTCGGGGCGGCCGGTGTCTGCGCCCGGGTTGGTCAGGGACCGGCCCCAGGCCTTCGTTACCCCGCCGCCGCCAGGCGACAGGGTCCAGCGACGGACGCAGGGAACGCGCCGCCGCCGGAGTACCCAGCTGCAGCGCTGGAGGGCTGCCTCTGCCCGGAGGAGGAGAAATAAAAGGGGTCCTCCGTGGCAAGGAGGGACGGGGACTCCCCAGACGCAGACGCGAGGGCAATAAAGATGTTCAGGGCGGCGGCTGGTCGCATCAAACGCTGGGCCGTGGTTCGGTCTATCAGCGCTCACTTTCTCTTAAGTGTTCAACCCTTAGTTTGTCCCTTCGCGAGGTTAGCCACCGGCCCGGGGTTGCGCGTCCCAGCTTGTCGCTGCGGCTCGAAGCGCGCAGCCAGGAGAAACACGCCCGAGACTCGGGGTCAACCCCGGGGTGCGAGCGTCGAGGAAACCTCGAGGGCTGTTTGTGTCCCCCTCTTTCCGTGCCCTTTCTGGCCCGCGCACGCCGCTTCCGGGGGCAAAGGCTCGTGGCCCAGGAGTGAACCTAGGAGGTCGCTTCCCACGGTAATGGACGCGGCTGTACAAGGCGCCTAGGTGCGGGCCGCGTTTCTCTCACGCAAAAAGTGGGATTGCCAACAAAAGTTTGTACAGACATCGACTGGGACAGATCCCGGAATCAGATCGCTAAGAAGAAAGAGGCGAATCATCTCCAAACACATGGAAGTCTGTATGCCCCATGATGGGTTCTAGGAAAAGCCAGAATCTCGGCTGACGGCGGAAGGCCCGCGGGCAGGTCTCGGTCCCGCTGTTTTGACCCCCTCCAGCAAAGAAACCCGGTTTAGGAACAGAATTTAAACACACACACACACACACACACACACACACACACACACACACACACACACACCCCACACCATTCCCCCGGTTTATTATTGGGGTAACGGAGCGTGCTAAGGTCATTTGCAGTTTGGGGTCGTGATGAGGCAGTTAAGTTGACAACCTCGGCGCAAACGCCCCCCGCCGGGAGCGCACAGGTGTAGCGCGGGCTTGGGAGCTGCGACCCGAGGAGGGGACGCCGTGGTCCGGGGAAACAGCCTACGCGGGAGCCGGCGAGGCACAGGGGTGGCCAGGAGCACGCTCGGGGGCTCGGAGGCTCAGGGGTCTCGCCGAGGACCCTACCACTTCGAGGCAAGAGATGGGGACGTCGCCGCCCACAGGGCCGCGGGGCCCGGGGGCGACGTCCCCCTTTGGCAGGGCCGGCTCTAAGGAGGGGTAAGATGGGGCTCGGTGGGAAGTGGGGATGCGGCTCATGAAAGCTTCAGCTGGACCCCGGGACCCGCTGGAGGGGGAGGCGCGCCCCGGCGGCAGCGCGCGTGCACGCACAGGCGCGCGCGCGCACGCGCCCGTCCACACACCTGGATCTGTGGTGTATGGGGTTGGGGGAGGGAAAAAGGAGAACCGGAGCGAGTGTGTTAAAACAGGGTGCGGGGCTTCGGCGGGGCGGCGGCCGGCCCCCCGGGTGCGTAGGTCGGCGCCCCGGCCGCACGGGCGCGCAGGGGCGGGGTGGCGGCCGACGCCCCTCGGCTCGCGCTCCGCACCTGGCCCTGCAGGAAGTGCGCGCTGATTGACAGCTGCGGTGCTCCCAAAAGGCTGGAGTCAAAGATGCTGCTCGGCGGGTGGGTGTAGACGCGGCAGGCGCGCCCCGTGCCCGCTCTAGTTCGCGCGCCTCCCCGGGCCCCGCCGCCCCTCCGGCTGCCGTGGAGCGGGGCTCGGGCCCCAGCCTGCGCGCCCGGCACCCGCGGCTCCGGACGACCCGGCGGCGCTCGGCCCGCTCAGGTCGCCAGGATCCGGTCCCGGCTCACCATGCACTGCCACGCGGAACTGAGGTTGAGCTCACCCGGCCAGCTCAAAGCAGCCAGGCGGCGCTACAAGACTTTCATGATCGATGAGATCCTCTCCAAGGAGACCTGCGACTACTTTGAGAAACTTTCTCTCTACTCTGTGTGCCCGTCTCTGGTGGTGCGACCCAAGCCCCTGCACTCTTGCACCGGTAAGGCAATCGCTGGGAGAGTGTGGGCTCTGGCACTTTGGCTAATGTGCGGTCGCCTCTGCTGCTTTCCAACTCGAGGGCCAGAGGGGCCGAGGGATTCATTTCTTTCCTTGCGTCCTTGCGGTGGACTTTCCGAAGCGTTTGCAGCCGCCTCGGGCAGGTACTGCTCCCTGGATGGGAGATTTAAGTCAAGACCAAGCGGCCCTTGAGTGTTCGGCTGCTCGGCTTCTTGGAGAACTCGCGCTCCTTCCAGGCGCTGTGGGTGTTAGTGAGAAACTTTAACACTTGACCCCATTCAGTGCTTAGGTGGTTTCACGCAGTGCACTGAGCCTGTCCGCTTCAACTTGGGCTTGGTGGTCTCACCTTTCACCTAGAGTTAGATTGCCCAACCTCTTATCTCTCATTTGTAATTTTACAAGTAAATCGGTTTCCTGGGCTTCAAAACAAACTACTGAATTCATCGAACTATTCTTAATGATCTCCCTCTGGGGAAGCGGTTTTGGACTGTGCTGCATTTTGACACAAGCAGAGAATCAACTTCTTGTTTGCTTTAAGTGACTAAAAACAACACTAGAAACAGTAAAAACACCCCTCAAACCTCATTTCCCCTTGCCACAAAAGCCAGACCAATAGGAAAGAGACAGAGAATTTAGTAATTATCTTGGAAAAGTCAATGTGTATAAAACTAACCCAAAGACATTTAGAACACTGAGTGTAGTTGAGAGAAACTCCGGGCTTCAAAGTTTCTTGACGTTGTGGGGATTCAGGCCACAAAAAGTATGTATCGCTAAGAACAGCTGAAGAAAAAGTTTATTTTCGAGGAAGTTCTTGACCAAGCTTCCCATTAAAAGCAAACATTTAGTGCTCTCAAATGAGAGGGGCCTTGTTGTATGGCTGCCATGAAGTAAGTTCATGAAATTATACTTTGAAAAACCGAAGTGCGCGCTAACAGTGGTTCGCAGAGACTTTTAAAGAAGAAAAAAAAAAGCTGCTAATATAAGGCACTGTTTGGAACCCAATTTCTCCCTTGGTTCTATTGACAATCCTGCTAAAACCCAGTCACTAAATCTATGATAAATACAGCTAGGTCTTTGCAAAATCAAGTTATTCCTACATTTGTTTGGCTATAAAATGAATATTACATATTTTGTAAGCAAGGTAGAATTAGATCTGATAGCTCATAACAAGCTTTGTAATACTAAATAGTTTTACAAACAGCAAAATAAACAAGGTAACATAAATGAGATTTTAGAAGTGAGACAGATACTCATCATGTTGGCATTATTGCTGTTGTGCGTCTACTATATGTGATGCCTCAGAAGAGCAGTCTGTGAATATGTTGGGCTGGGAGAAGTAGGCTAAATCTCTTTAAGAGTATCTATTTGCCACAAACATGCAAATCCCATTGAGGATTTTTTTTTTTTTTCCTCCCATGTGGCAAGTCTCAATGCATCCTGTTCAGTTGCTGCTTAGGAGAGAGCCTCCTGCTTTCATACCTGCTGAATTTCAGGGGCTTTGCTGTAATTCTAAGGCAGCTTTGCATGGTTTGTAGGAGACATAGAATTGGGTCATGCAAGAAAACATGCTGGAAAAAGAGAGGGGGAGTGGGAAAGGCCCAGAAAATTGTCATGCAGTCAGTCTAGGCTGAGCAAGTCCAATGATTAATGGAATCTTGTGTGGGAAATAAAACAGAAAAATGCAGCGATTCAAAGGTATTTTTGTGAGTGTTAAAAGTCTGTTGACACTCCTTGCAGGCTGGTCTTGCGTTCCTAGAAGTTCCTTGATGGTTTGTGGCAGAAATGGTTATTGGCAGTGGTTTCTTGCCTTCTTTTTCCATTTTCCCTCTGGATTGTTCCTTTCAAAATGTGTTTGATTTTTCTCTAGTTGAGACTTAAAATATACAAACTAGGATTTGCTAGCGGAATTAAGCTCATAAAAACTGGCTACAATAGTTCATACTTCCAGATCGTAAGCCTTCAGTGGGTTTACAATTACAGAGAAAGCCTTACATGTATGAGATCATGGGAAGCCCATTAGTGACTTCTCTGGGTTTTCATGCCTTTAAAGCCTTCTTGATTTTTTAACTGTCAAATGCAGGGTCGAAAATCTTAGCTAGGGTAAGTACTATCTTCTTTTAAAAACTGATTAAAAATAAAAATTATATAAGTTGCTAGCATCAATAACGAAACAGTAACTTTTTTTTTTTTTTTTCTGGATAGAGACAGATGTTCAGCATGTGTGGCAGAAGCAATGTGTCCGGAATTCAAAGCAAGTGAAAAATTATGCTGAAATTAAAGTTACCGGCTTTTCTTAGCTTTTTGTTTGCGTATCTCTACCAGCTTAAATAACTGCAGCAGAGGTGAACTTTGTCAGGCAGAATACTGAAAACTGGGGCTGACTTTTTTTTTCCCCCACAATTGACTTCACTATTGACCAGCATGTTCAATAAACACAGAGGATAAGGATGGAACAATAGCCACATTTAGAAGTCTTCTATCTAATTAAGCAGCCCATGTTGCTAGATTTAGTAATCCAAGTGGCAATGCATGATATCAGATCTCCTCAGGCAGAAGAGTATGTATTTAAGTAAACAGGGGAGTGGAAATCTTTTTCATTAGGCAGATAATCACCTGGCAGTAATTTATTACGAAACATTTCCCCCTTGATGGAACACTTGTTATCAGAAAAGTATTATTTATTTTAACAGGCCCTTTATTGAAAATACAATAATTTTACTCTTCAAGAGTGGTCTCTAAATGTTTTTGTTTCCTAGTAGCTTCTCCTAAATCACCTTAATAGATAATGAAAAGAATCGTTCTTTTTAAGCCAAACTAAAGGAAAGCTTATCATTTAATAAATAAATAAACAAAACCTAACAATCTAAGGAAAGCCTTCTTTTAATCAAAATTTGCTCTGTACACTGTCAGTGAAGTATAGAATATTTTTTGACTTGAGTATGTAGTTCTTATCTTTAAATCTGATAACAGTAATCCTTGTACAAAATCAAAACATATTGCCAATTGGAAGTCAGAAATCATTTCTCAAATTAGAATAGTGGCAGTGATTGGAAGTTTAGTCAAACAAGGTATACTTCGTGATTTCATAAATACAGTATCACTTTTGGCATGTGTAAATGTCTATTTTGGGTCATCATTAACTCTTTCTGACTGAAAGTAATTTGAATAAAACTGGCTCCTCACGGTGGCCTAGATTGCAAAACTGTTGGCCCTGTAATTTTTGGAAGCTCTGCCTTTATGTTAAAATGTTTTAGAAATTGTCAGAGTTTCTAAATTTGAGGAGTGTTCAGGGGAAACCGGTGACTTGTTCCACAAACACAAGCATTCAACAGTTTACCCTAAAGGTTTTTCTGTGAGGTTATTGATAAACAAACCTATGATATTAATTACTTGTAGTTTATTGTTGCTTTTAGAATGAGCTTCTGTTTCCACATGCTCATCTTGGAGTGGAGAATACACGTATTTGGACACTTTAGAACCTGTGACTTTTTGTTATTCTAGTAGAATCTGTAGTCTAGCTCCTTTCTACTTCTGCTGAATCTACCTGTGAACTTCAGTGTCAATCCTTTAAGTCTGGCATGGCTTTGGAACTGGCAGGGGTTGAGAGGTCAATTGTCCCAAGTGGAGGTTCTATCTATCTATCTATCTATCTATCTATCTATCTATCTATCTATCATCTATCTATCTAATCTATCTATCATCTATCTATTATCTATCTATCTATCTATCTATCTATCTATCTATCTATCTATCAGAACACTGGTATTTCCACATAGTTTAATGTGCTTCTTACACTGCTGTCCTTGTCAGGATTCTCAGAAATCAGGAAGATTGTTGTATCTTGGTTACACACCCTGGATAAACCTGTGCAGTCACACCCAAGGGACAGTCAACCAATTAAAAGGGGCATTTGGGACAGGGTGATTATCTTAGGAGGTGGCATTGAGAACATTTTATCCTCTGGTGGGTCCATGAGAAACGAGTTCTTTGGGGGTGGTGTCCTTGGGCACATTTATCAAAAAGACGGGTGTCATACCAGTGAAAAGCTGAATGAAATTCAGACGAGCATGGCTCTGCCGCTGTTGGGGAGAGTGAGTGAGTGTTTCACGAAGTTGGTTCCACCGATTCCCCAAATCTCAGCTCTTTTAGTTGGAGACCAAATCCTATAGCAGAGAATCGGGCCCTGGAATGTTAATGGAGAAACTTAAGCCAGGGTCTGGGGAAATGATCATTATCAATGCTGCCAGAGGCAAGCAGGATTTTATTAGCAATTACTCACCCCGGTTTCTCCTATTCCCATTCGAAGAGTGAACACATGGAGGGACACGAGCTTCATGAGGGACTTGCTGAGGGTCAGAATATATTCGGAGAGGAGCTGGTGACTGATCACCTCTTACGTCTTACAATTCCTTTTAAAAATTGAGATGTGAGGGGTTCCCCTTTAGAATTGGCTTTAAGAGCTTATGAGTGGTTTACAATCAGTCTCTGTTTGCTGCTGATTTTTCTAATTGCAGATGGAAAAAAGATCACAATTTTTGTTCAGATTTAAAATGCCTCTTCCAATGCTGTCCGTGACATCATTGAGTTTGGTAATTTAATTAAACCAATATTTATATGTTCTGGGAATATATATATATATATATATATATATATATAACCATTTATAAGGCCAATTACATATATGTGGGCTATTTTTTTCTTTGAGATGGAAGACTGAATTTGTAATGCAAGTATAGACAGTATAAAGTTAACTTTAGTACATTGTAGGTTCTTCACACGTCTATATCAGAAGCAGGAAGAAGTGAAAATGATTGTTTTAATTGTAAAGCAAGATTAGAAAGAAGAAAAGAAGAGTGAATAGAGAAAAAGAGAAAGAGCGGGTTTCTGTGAAACCTTGAGGTCCCCCAGCTTCAATCTTATACCATGGGATAGCTTAGAGCATTTTGTTGTACAGACAATAAATAGCTAACATTCAGTCTACTT